AGCCGAGCAGAAATGTTTTCTTTCTAGAGAAGAAGCAATGTTATCTACAATTCTATGGACTTGGTGGAGGGCTGAGTGATTATTCCTAAATCCAAATTGAGTGTTTGGGATAGTATTTTGCACATTAATGATTGGGTAGATTCTTTTCAGCATTACTTTTTCGAGTATTTTAGAGAAAGACGGCAATAGGCGGTGCTGTTTCCGTGGAAAGTTTAATACCATTTATTGAGCTTTTGCAAGAGAAATTGTCGCATTTAATTAACTCCTTTRTTTGTGTACAAAATGTGCTATAGTCATTAACTGTTCGAATAAATATTGGCGGAGGAGGTTTGGTCGCGGTAATCGGCTCGTTATCTAAGTCCATGTTGGTGCTCTGATAATCAGTGTCAGCGGTTTCATTTGTAGCAAATAACGAGAAGCGATTTTTAGAAACGTAAGTAGCTTGTTTTTTTTTGTTCATTATTCCTCAGTGATTGTGACGGAGATATGAGACGTTTTGAATTAGTTGGAAAACTGAATCCATCTCTAGAGGTAGGTGTAGATGGAGAAATTGGAGATTTGTTTTGAGAATTATTTGGCACGCTCTGTATGCGAGACTYTTGAATAATTAATGGAGAGACGGTATTTCTRTTGCTCATTATGTGTTTATATTTATCACCTGTTTGGTAGGATTACGTAATGAGTAATTAGCGGGCCGACCGATCGGCCGCTGTGGATTAGAYAACTAGACCTAAGCCTAATTAATTAATTAAATTTATTACMGATTTGATGATGAGACGGTCCAGAGCCGATGTAGAGATGTGAGACGTCGYGGATTGGACTCGGCGTAMTTTGGCGAAGGAGAACGTTTTTTTTTTGGTAAAAATTTAGCGTACTTAACACGCAATGATAAGAGAAAGAAATACGATAACGGCGTACGATGTTTCATTATCGACGGTCGCGACCGAACTTAAATACTAAAGTTCTAATTTTTTTACTTATGTTTCCTATTCAAAATTCTATAGAAAAAATGTTGTGTGCTTGACAATTCCTTTTTGAGCCATTAAAAAATGTGTGAATTTATTTAAATTACACATATTGTTATTGAAATTATTATAATATAATACATATTAAAAGTTTTATTGTTCTACATTCAAGATTCAACCCATTACACCAATTACAAAAA